TGAGCGTTATATACGCGTTATAGCAACGTCGAAACAAGAAAGTATGGATGATCGAAAGTGCGGAGAGATTGTATAGTTTCAAAAGACACACTACCTTACAGCAACTTCTGGGGATTAGTTGGAGATTAGTTGGAAAGATGGGCAATGAACTTCAGTTTTAGCTTGAATCTAGCATTCACTTCAAGGTCCGGTGCTCATACATGGTAGAAGAGTCAAGCTTATGTCAGCCATTCTTCAGACTTGCAGAGAGCTTTCGACAGATTTCACTGAGTTCCAGAATTTCTGCATCCGCCGAAGATTGTTTAACGTCCGCATTTTTGACCAGGAAAAATTTTAAATAATGAAGAGATTTTGTTGTTGTTTTTCCTGAAAATTTTCATCAACCAGAAACGAGGACCATAAACAATGTGCACCTGATGTGGAAATTCTGGAATTCAATACAAGGTGTGCAATCACACCTTTCAAATCTTCTGAGAGGGTGCAGGCTGGATCTGCGTTAAAAAAGGAACCTGGGCACGGCACACTTCTATGAGTATACATGGACCGGTTCTCTTTGGTTTTTCCACTTTGTTTCACTAGAGTAGAGTAATCTCAACTGTTTTTCCAATCGTCAGATATTTTGAACATTTCGCATTAGAAAGTCTACTGGCGAAGGTTGGGGATCGCGTCGATCCTTCATCGAACAGATTACTCTGGATTATTTGGAAGGCCAGCGACATGTCAAGTTTCCACATCAGTTTTTCATGACGTTTTGATGATTTCAAATGTGATCTCAAAAAATGTGGGGCAAATAAGTGCATCACTAAGTTAATTCTCTAGGAAAGAGACGTGAACGAACTTCTGTGTAGCCGTACTTTCTGTGAAGTACAATGCCATGTTCCTTCAGTTTTTCATCCAGCCACCCCAGCGCTGAGATTTCTAAAATACATATGGCAGTATGCATAAGACAGCATACATACCCTTCGGAATAGTCGGACGTTCCTTTCATAACGGCGTTGTCTTGAGTCGGGTGTAGCATTCTGTCCCACCGCGGGAATTTCATGCACATTAATTTTCAGAGATCCATGTCTAGACACAATCCTGCAGACACTCTGCACAGACACAATGTTCGTCAGACACAGACACTTTGCACTTGTGTCTGACGAACATTGTGGGCATTATCAATCATAACGAACAAATTGCCGACGGATTTCAGAGACCTTATTTTCACGTTCAATGTCAAAGTCGAAATTATTGCCCTATTTTCTATTTCGGGGATTCAACTTATTAGTTTTATGCTTTGTGACAGGGATGTTTCTTTATTGTGCAACCAATCAGTGGAAAAAGGGAAGGGAGAAAGTCATGTCATATCATCGTCACCATAATAGAATCACAGCAGTTACGGAGTGTCAGAATCAAAACACGTGCTACTAGAGAGGAACTGAAAGTCGTCCAAAAACCTTCTACTATTCGCCTTCTACTTTTGTGAAGGTGATGTGAATCAGGAACCATGAATAACCTTCCCTAACAGGTAGTGACCCTATGCGAATTCTCATTTTCTTTCGCAGAAGCGTTTTTGAAAAGTTGACACTAAGAACTCGGGGCGGCAACTTCTCCACGTATGGAAATTCATTGCTGCTGTTGTTTCGAATTCTACTGGGAGGATAACGTGCTCGTCAACGGAGTGGCATCTACGAAAATTCGCTGCCCGAGAATGTGATTTCGGAGGTTT